CGGTCTTAATGTATGTGTGTACATCTCATAACTTCTAGTATAAATTACAAGTACATCATGTATAATAATAACAAATCAACATACTATATATTAAAATAAGTAAATCCAAAATATTTAATTATGAAACTATGCACTATTAAGTGCTTTCATCGCATTAAAAGCATTTAAAAATATATAATAAATGTATTTTATAAGCTTATATGTAACTATATGCAATCAACTGCAAAAACCCTTATGATCCCATACTCTGGTAGTCCCACGGAGTATTATCAAGTGGGCATACGTTACGAGTTTTCAGCCAGCGGGAAATGCAGTGAAAATGAAAGACATGGTTACATACACCCAATGCAGAACTACATTCCCCATTTGGTTCTTGTCCCTGGGAAGCTTGGCATTCAATACAGTGCTTCATAATATTATTACGACAAATGGCACAATTGTCCACTGCTATATCTGTAATAAAAATTAATAAGTCACGCAATCAAATTCATAGGTAATGTTACGTGATTTACCCCAGGTCCAAGTAGCCATAGCATCCCACTTGACAAATTATAAAAAAAAAATATTTCATAATAATATTTTTAAATTAAATTTAATGCAATTTTTTTCTCACCTTTGTTATTTCCAAACGTTTTTCTGGGCATGAAGCCTTGGATGTGGAAGGAACTTCTTTGTCCATTTTAAGAGGACACACACAAGTATTATTCAATTTGTACTTCTCCAATCTTTGTAACTCAAGACCTTTGTTTCAAGAGCAAATTTCAGAACTTACTAAAGTAAGAATGAAATTTTTATATTTTATGGATTTCAAGTTTTATTTGAGTAGTAAACTTTTTTTTAGTATCTGAATAACTGCTATGTTATTTTTTTTTTCTAAAAAAATTTTGCCAGTTAAATTTTAATTAAGAAACATTTATTTAATGATTTATTGTTTTAATGATAAACATTTTTTTAATAATATTTCTATTATTAAAACGGACTAATTTAAATAAAAAATTTTCTTAGAAACTAAATTTTTTTAAAAATTTTATTATTTAATTATTGGCGAATTAGCCTATTTTAAAAATAATATTATTATTTATAATTTATTTAGGTATTTTGTACCTCAAATTGAAAATAAAAACTTTTTTAAGAAAATATGGGGGCAAGAATTATTTCCTCTTAAATGGAAGAAGTTTATCATTGTCAAATTGCCAAAAAAAGGTAACAGAAAGAAGTGCAGCAACTGGAAGAAAATTTCTTTAATACCAGCAGTTTTCCAAATTTTCAACAAAATAATTTTAAAAAGAATCGCAGAAACATTAAGTGCGCTTATTCCAAAAATTCAAATAGGTTCCCGTCTAGGGCCCTCGTGCATCGAGCAAATTAACATCGTCACAATACGTATTGATTAACATCGTCTAACATTTATTGATTTTAAAATGGCGATCGACGTGCTTAAGAGAATTTACATAAGGCTAGCGTTAAACGCTAAAGGTATTTCTAATAAGATCATTAATATCCTCAAAAAGAGCTACGAAGGAGCCACGAGCAGAGTTTTACATGAAGGTACTCTTAGCAGCAGCTTTAATTGCAACAGTGGAGTGCGACAGGGCTGCATCCTCTCACCGTTACAGTTTATCACAGTCCTAGACGTCGTTATCGAAGCTGTAGAAGAAAGCCCAATCGGCATCGGTTGGAAGCTGAATCAAAAGCTTGGTCATCTCGAATGTAGTATTGTTAACAAACAGACACACTGATATGCAAACTCTCGTGAATAACGTATGCGAGCAGTCATATAAAGTCAGCCTAAAAATTAACCCGTCAAAGACAAAACAATCAGAATGAAAGCAAGCACTTAATCGCCCATCCTTCTGTACAATCATAACATTGAAGACGTGCAGGAACTCGAGTACTTGGGAAGCATAGTCAACAGCGATGGTGGCACGTCAAAGTATATCCACAACAGAGTGAAAAAGTAAAAGGCCCTTTCGCGTCTGGAAAACCAACAATTTAAGGTCCAAACTAAGATCAGAACATTCAACGCCTGAGCAAAATCGACATTATAATATGGTCGCTAACGAGGGCGTCGACTCAGAAGATATAAACCTTCGGTAATAGAAGCTTGCGGCGTATTTTGAACATTTGGTGGCCTGCAAGAGTCTCCAACGAAGAGCTATGGCAGCGCACCACACTGAGAAACCCAACAGACGCAATTGCCCATGCAGTCATGGAACGGAACCCGCAAGAAGTAAGGAGATGAGGTCATCCCAGAACCACTTGGTGGAGAACAGTGGCAACCGAAACGAACAAATCCTTTAATCAGCTACGTTTTGCTGCCAGAAACAAAGACGAATGGAAAAATTTTATAACAACTATCTTTGAATAGACTAAGTTCTAAATTTAATTGTATAATGAAGAATATGTTATAATAATAATAATAATATATACTAGTATTTCTTACATATTTATTAACTCAGCCCAATTAACACGTATACAAATCAAATACAGATTTCTCTAGGAATCAGCGAGTTTGTAAATCATTGACACTACTATAATTTTAAAAGAAACATCTTAACATCTGAGGTGTGGTAATATCTCAACATTTTAACATTAAAATTAATTTCTTTACTAAAAAATACTTTAAGATTTTCATATATGCAGTAGATATGTTAATAATAATGCATTATATTATTTAAAGATGTAGGGAGAACATATTAAACTGCAATCATTTTATTATTTAAAAACATAAGGTTATATGTATACGTACCTATTTCATCTAAACCAATATATGGTTTTCTATTCACAATTATAATTTCAACATTACTTAAATATTTTAGTGAATATAAGTTGTAGTTTTTTCGAATAGTAGTGAACTACAACAACAAAAATTTTTTTTTATATTATTTTAATTAATTGAATTTTTGACTGACCATACAGTTGTTTCGAGTATTGCCAAATACCCATCATCAGTGATCTTGAAAATAATTATTTTATTTAATCATTCGTTAATAATTTTTCGAACTCTTGTCCTGCCAAATTTGAAGCTCAGAGTCAGCTTACCTTAACCAACTGTTCCAAAGCCGTACTTGACTTTTTTTTATGTTCGCATATATTTCTGGAGTTTTGTTACTTTTGCGAGTTCGATTCCTGATACTTGCAGTCTCAAAAATAATTATTTACGAATAATTATATACAAGAATTATTTCCAAGATCACTGAGATCACTATTTGGCAATACTCGAAACAGCTGTATAGTATGCCAAAAATTCAATTAATTAAAATATGAAAAATAAAAATTTTGTTGTTGTAATTCACTACTGTTCGAAAAAACCTCTGTATTAAATATTTTAGTGCAATTCCTTTAAACTCAAGTACCATTTCATTTGAAAAACAAATTCTTAAAGTATTAATCTTTAGCTTTCATTTTATGTAATTAATATGACGTAACATTATCAAAACGCTGTTATGACATCCTAAAAATATCAAGACATTTGCAACTTCAACAAAAGTAGTTCAGAAATGTTGACAGTCAAATTATAAAGTTCCGATTCGCAGTACATACATATATCCCTTGCATGACCATTAAGCAAAATTACAAAGCAAACATGCAAACATGCAAACGCACTGCGAAGTCCTCTTGGCAAAAATATGTTTGATAAATGACACACGAAGGATTTGCCACAGAGATCAAATGTACAAGAGAATTTGCAGAGCAGAAACCGCCGCATTTTAACCACAGTTGCAATGGCTGCAAATAGTGCAAGCAAAAAAGCTAACAGAACCAGAACGAGTGCACCAGCAAAAGAAATAAAAGGAGTGTAACTGCAACTTAATTTCTGCCTTCGTGAATTAAAACGGGAATTTGCATGCCGTTGTGGCAAGGACAACTGTGCGTATGAGTGATTATCGGCGCAACATTTGTACTCGTGCTGTCTGTGCAACTGGCAACTGTAGCGAGTGCAAACAGCTGTGACATTTGCAGCATTAGTAAGTTGCCATGTTGCACTTGGGCAATGACGCGAATGAACATAAAATTTGCCGGACTAAGGATTTTGTGCCGTTTTTACTGATTGTCTGCGATATGTTGCGCTGCTGTGATGTCTGTTCGTTATATTGTAGTATGTCCGTTTTACTGCAGGAAATAAAATCGCTGAATTTGTGACAAATTGAAGTAGGACCGGCAGGCATAATGTGGTTAAGTACAATATTCTAGCACAAAAATTACAGCAATGTATGTAGTTATTGCATGCGACTGACAGCTGCAGTCGAACCACCACGATTTCCTGCAGTTTAGAAAAATATCATTTCAAAATAAAAAGATTTAACTTAAATCAACTTAAAATAGTTTCTACTTAATTAAACTTTTGATTTAAACTTTTGCTTTCTAATTTCGAACCAAAATGTTAATTTTTTTAATCTTTTTTTGTATTTATTGCATTAAAAACTTTTCAAATAAAGCACAAGCTGGTAACGTATTTGCAACGCATACGATTGCATGCAACAAGAAACATACAATTTCATTGTTCAACTTTAATTAAGTTGCAGGTGCAATGTTGATAAAGTCAACCACAAAACAATGCAACAATATCTCACCTCCACACCTGCAACTCTTACTCTTACTTGCTTGTTGCTTATTCGCAACTGCAAGTAGTTTGGTACCATCCCAGAAATAAAAAAGAGAAAAACAAAAATACAGTGGAAAACTTTTGTATTGAAGGAAATTTTAAGGCCAAATATTGCAGGGCCTTATATTTTAAGCCTTGGCAACATTAATTGTTGTCAGATAACATCTGTCAGGTGACACCTACCTTAGACTTTTTGTCAAAATTGTATTAAGAGTATTTGTGTCATTTACAGTGATTGGATACAGTGAATTGAGTGTTCGCAAAAAAATGGAATTAAAGAAATCGCACGTAAAAATTTTACTGCGATGATTTATTACGACTTTCGTCGTGGATTATCAAGACAAGAGTGCATCGCTCAACTTACTTCTACATTTGGCGATAAAGTTCCAAAATTACTTCCTTTGTCACTGTGAAACGCTGGTACAATGGTTTTAATCGTGACAACAGTTCGCTCACTGACGAAATACCGAAATTCGTGAAGGTCGTCCAAAATCAATTGTTGTGGCAGAAAACTATGATGCTTCTCAAAAACTTCTAATGCAAGATCGTCATGCGACATATTGTGAGATTGAGGGAACCCTAGACATTAGTTTCACCAGCATATATACTCATAAAATATTACACGATCATTTAGCCGTTAGAAAGGTTTGATCTCGTTGGATACCCCATCATTTGACAAAATCTCAAAAGGATGCTCGTGTCGATTGGTGCACAGATGCTCAAGAAGTGCAACACAATTTTTTTTATTCAAATATTTTGGACTACTTCGTTGGCAAACCATAAATTTTCTTGGTATTTATTTTAAGACTTTTAAGACAGACAGAGACTAAACCTATAAATAATACGTTTATGAAATTACTTCATATTTAAATAATAACAATTTTGAAAATTAAATCGCATTAACTTTAAAATTTTCCGCCGCCCTCAACTTCTATTTCCTTTTTAATTTAAATCCTCCACACTTAAATTAAGTAGTGTGTTGGTCTTCCAATGTTGTTGTTTTTTTGTTGAAATACTCTAGCCAACTCTTCGTAGTAGCTTTTACACCTACAACCCAAAGTAACTCGAACAAATCCTACGGCCATGTTTTGTTGGTAGACTTTCTGGCTTATTTTAAACTCAATTAAACAAAACTCTGAAGTTACCCCAGCAGTATTGCTCCTCCAAACGC